CTGAAACCAGCCCACTGAAAGGACAGTGGGCTGGGAGTGAATAGTGAAGATAGACAGGGAAGCGGAGAGGGAGGGAGAGTGGGGAAGACACGCAGCAAAAGGCTGCAAGTCAGACTCAAAAGCTCCCAGACTGAGCTAAACTGACGACTGTTAAAGTATTGTTTTAAAAACAACATTTAAACATTTAAAACAACTATAAGAGTAGCATCATTTATATTAGACTTACAGTTGGGTCCCTGAATATTTGGAAAATGACACAGTTTTTTATAGCAGCTTTGCCTTTGTACGCCACCAGGGGGATTTTAAATAGTCCAGAGCAAACTTTCAGTTTAATGTCAGCTTGAAATTAACCACACTTATGCTTTCTCTCTTTTTTCAGAGCTGTGAATTATTTATTTTTGTTCATATTAATTTGTCTACCTCGGCTCTGTGTGTTTCTTACAGATTAGCAACTCGTTTGGGAACATGGATCCATTTGGGACAGGGCAAACATTGCCTCCCCTGCAGCTGCCTCAGACTCCAGCTACTCCAGCTGCAGTCAACCCCCTGAAGAAGCCACCCAAGTGGATTCGCCGACCTGTGGGAGCCTCGTTTGCAGTGAGTTCTGTTTCTTTAAGCTTTGATCAAAAGTACGGTGAGACTGCTTTTCTTTTTTTAAGCACACTTGAAATCTTTTTTGATTTGTTTCCTTTTAGTTTGGTGGGAAGCTGATATCTTTGGAGAATACAAAACCAAACCCCCAGCAGCCTCAGCAGCCCACTTCTCACGTTGTGCACATGAGCCAGGTTGTTACAGAAACAGCTTTTCTGAAGCGCTCCGACCAGCTGCAGGCCACTCTGAGTTCAGGTAACTTCGTGGACTTCTGCCAGGAAAAGATCGACGTGGCTGAAAATGAGTTTGAAAAAACTGTTTGGTCTTTCCTTAAGGTATGAGGAAGCATTAAAAAACACAATTTTTAATCAATAATGTTTTTGCTGAAATTTGTGTGGATAATGCTAATGTGGATGTTATGTGTTTTAAGGTTAATTTTGAAAGTGACATCCGTAGCAAGTACCTGGAACTTCTGGGGTACAACAAAGAGGAGCTGGCTTTAAAGGTGCGACATGTTATCTGTTCATCTGTATGTGAAATACGATGCTACGCATGTTTTTCAGTTGAACTTGTGATTAATTTATCCATTTGTTGTCAGATTTCAGCAGCACTAGAGGAGCAGTCTGCCAATCCCCTGAAGGTAAGCTTGTCAAAGCAGCTAATCTTATATTGTGAATTTTAAAGGAGTATCTCAGCATTAAATCTCTTTATGGGGTATCAGAGATAAAGGATGCCACTCTGATGTGTGTCTTTTAAAAGTGAATAAAGATGAATGTGAAAGTCAATACTTAGTGTGATCACCTTTATCCTTTAACATAGCCTGAAGTTTGTTAGCAAGCTTTCTTGTCATTTCTTTAACTGCTCTTAGTAGTTTTTTTCTGTTCTTAGTTAAGATGATCCCACACTCCGCCAATAATGTTGAGATCTAGGTTCTAGGAATGCCAAACAACACTGATACTGATAGTGTTTTTCTATCCAGGTTTGCTTTTACTGCACTGGCAGTGTGTTTGGGATCATTGTTATGGTGAAAAATAAAGCTGGTGCAAATCAGATGCTTTCCAGGTGGTATTGCATGGTGAATCAGAATCTGGCAGTACTTTTCTGTGTTCATAATTCCATCAGTTTTGACAAAATCCCCAGCACCACTCAGTGAAATGCAGGTCTAAACCATAACATATCCTCCTCCATGTTTTACAAAGGGCTGTAGACACTCTCTCCTAACCTCCTCTGTACAAATTGATAATGATGTGAGCCAAAGATTTTAAATTCAGTTCTTGTGTAATTTGGCATACCTCAGCCTTTTCTCCCTGTTTCCCCGCCTTTCTGATGAAGCTTTGTCAAACAGTAGACGGATTAACTGAAGGGCAAGATGTGTCTCTCAGGACCTGTGTCAGGTCTTTGCTGGATTTATTTCTAATTCTTATTAATGTGACTTTCCAATACTGTTTATCTGCTGAAGTTTTTTTTGTTTTTTTTAGATCTTCTTCTTTTGTCCTCCACTCTTCAGTTTCCTCAGTCTTTTAAAGGATACACTACACACAACCTGTGTAAAAAATACTGTTTTATTCTTGTCAAACTGTAATATCTTTGACATTTTTCATAGATTTAACTTAAATATGAAATGGGAACAAATGATATGTTTTTGCGATGGGCTGCTAGTAACAAAGTGCATATGCATGTAGACAACACCCTGAATGAAAAGGAAGCAAAAAGTTTCAACTTTGTAATGAAACCTTTCCAGGCTTTTCCTAGTAGCAAGAAAGAAATATGGATATCAAAACATTATTGACATGATTCTGGCTCATCTGACATTTCATTCTGTGGGTAAAGCAGCAAAATTATATCTCAATCAGTGAAGTTAATAACAATTTGTAAAAAAAAAAAAAATCATTAAACATAATGTTTGCAGTCTAATGATGAATAGTAGCAGTTTTATACTGGAAAATGTATCACTAAACCGCTGTTCAGGTTTCCAGACAAGGACTACACACACAGTGTCACCAGTTTCATAGCAGGAAGACTTAGCAGCTCAATAATGTAACATTTCCTTCAGGTTTTGTTGGACTCCAAAAACTGAACTGAAAGACCGTATCCCATCACGCTCACATTTATCAGGTGCACACAAATGCAACACTACATGCAACATTAAACATAATGAAAAGCTGCTACAAGGGTCAGCCTGCCTCTTTAAAAGGATGTAGCTGTTACCTTCTAAAAAACTTCCTATGGTCTTGAAATGTTTGTCTTTCCATTCCAAGACCATTTCTTAAATGAGCAAAGTTTTACATTGATGTAAACTTTTTATTTGCTCCTCACATGTATTTTCACGACACTGCTATGCTATGCAGTCCATATTTCACCCCACATTGGTCTCCATTCAACTCAGCCTGTTCTGATCTGTTCGCATTTGTTCACTGACAGAAGAATAAAAAAGTCTGACTGATTGCTGCTGGCAGTAATTACAGCTTGTCAAAGCCTCAGTTCACGGTGGAAAAGATGTAAAGTGTTTGTCTCTGTCTTATGTTTTGCAATATGGGAAGTGTTGTAAGCAACAAAGTCGTGTTTCAATGCTATAAATTCAACTTCGCTTTTTGACATTACTCAGAGGAAGTTCGACGTTTGAAAGTCACAATCACAGCAAAAAAGTGGAAATTCTTGAGTCTGCAGTGCCGCAGACTTTAGGAAAGCACTCTGTCACACGCGCTTGTATGCACTGCTCACTTTCTGTATAAATGTATTGCAGTGTTTATGCATCTGCTTCCACCAGTGACCTCAAATAGGAGCTTTACTCCAGTGCTAAATCTAGTGATTTTGCTTTTGTCTTCATTCTCTGAAATATGGAAAATAATATTGGTCTGACTTAGGTTCTGATCCTAGTTTGAAATTCACATTTGCCTAAATGTTGATTTAAATCCTTTTTTTTTTTTAGCTGAAACCAATCAAATAATATATGCCTGACCTGACTGCCCCAGTAAGCTGAATCCATACTGTTTCTGGTGATGCACACATCCCAGCCTCAGCCTGATGTGGCAGATCATATTATGCAGTTGACTCTGAATCCATCTCCGCCTCTTCTGTTCAGGTGGATGTGCCCGCTCCAGCCACGCTGCAGCCATTAGCAGACCTCAGCTTCATGCCGCCTGCTGACACTCCAGAGGCAGCATTTGACATGATTGCTGCTGTAAACCTTCAGCCTGCAGCCATGCTTGATCTCAATTCCACCCCTGAAGCAGAGGATGAGGATACAGCAGCACCAGCGGCAGATCCAGAAGATGCTCTTCGCAGTGAGCCATATGCAAATTTGGATCAGGTTCTCCCAGAGTTGGAGGTGGATGAGAATGAGAATGAGGAGGAAGAGGAGGAAGAGATTACCTTAGATCAGGTACACCTTTGTTTCCCCATTAAAAAGAGCTGAGCAGCAAAGTTACAGGAGTGCAAATTTTTTAGCTGTTTTCAGTAATGAACTTCAGATAATTTGAGGAGAATTAATACAGCATTATTTCCACAGCTGTCCATGAATTAGTAATAAAATGTGATTAAGATAATACATTGTTTAAATTTATAATAGAGAAAACTCAATGAACAAAAAATAATCCAAAATCATTTTGGCTGTAATGTGGAGCTGTCACCAAATATTAAAACAACCTATTGGAAACTGATTGAACACTACGGAAAGCTGAAAACACCTGTCTGGGTGTGCATATTTTTTTTTATAATTAATGAACCATGTAATCTGATTACTAACACTGTTTGACTCTTCATGCAGGAATAGATGGATTCTGGGTTGGTTTTAGGCATGCTCAAGGGGTTAGTCCAAACTGAAATATCTCAGAAAAAACTATAAATTGTTATAAAGTTTGGTACGTATACCCTTGTTGCTATGGCAACGTTTACTTGATTGAAATAGCAAAAATTTGGCACAGGTATCCACTGTGCCAGGAAGGTGGAGGGCTCACTAAAGTTATCATGAGACTGGCAGTTGTTGTTTTAAATGAAATATCTCAGCATCTTTGGGGTGGCCTGTCATGGAGTTGTTGATCCCATGACTTTGCATAATCTTACATTTCTGAAATTTACAAAACTAAGGACATTTCAGTGAGTCTCAGCTGCACTTTATAATGCTAGTGAGCAAGTGTTGGCATGGTAACCTGCTAAATTATGATTATGAAACTGTACTGTTACTAAGTTTAGCCTCAGGGCCTTTCATTATGTTAGAAAATCTTTAGTATCCTGGAACACTTGAAGGCTGGAGAAAAGATTGAAGCATCATTACATGTTTCTGTTGTTACAGGAGATGACAGCATCAGTTGATGAGGAGCCCATTCCTGCTGAGACATTAGCCCCTATTGAGGTCCGAGCTCCAGCTCCAACACCAGCAGGAGGGGTCAATCTCAGCATTAGTCAAGGTAACAGCACTATCAGTGTTTCAACACATTAACTCAGTAATTTGTTGTTTGCCCTGGGATTTTAACCATCATCAAATTGTAACGGGTATGGATATGTGGCAGGATAAATCCAAAGGTGTGTATAGCAAGGCACCAGAGAGTTGAAAAAGAAATCCACTAGGAGGTGGATTTAAGTGGAAACTTATACTCTTCTGACTCATTATTACTAGTATTTTCTTCAGTATTAAATGAATCTAGTTAGAGATGTCTGAACTTTTAACAGCTAAGTCTGCTGCTTTTGAGGATTTACTTTTCTTTCAGTAGAGGAAGAAAAAGCAGCTCTTTATAAAAGAAAAGCTCAGACATACATTTAAAGCAGACAGCTGTTATATGATTATAAATTGGTTGAAGGTCTCACACCAGTAAAGACAGAAGCCATTCGAGGAGGGCTTTGTTTGTTGGACATGACGATGTCACATTTATGAAGCTCACACCTGCCACTGGGTTTTTTCCTAAACATAATGGGGGTTTTTATTTCTTGCCAGATGCGGATGGGCTCATCACACAAGCTCTGCTGACTGGAGACTTTGAGGGCGCTGTGGAGCTTTGTCTCCATGACAACCGATTGGCGGACAGCATCATATTGGCCATTGCTGGAGGGCCAGAACTTTTAGAAAAAACCCAGAAGAAGTATTTTACAAAATCACACAGCAAGATAACCAAGGTGACAACTGGGGGAAACTTCCTTGAGTGTTTTTTGATTAAGAATGTGTTACTGGTGTTGTAATTGTGTATTTGTCCTGCAGCTGATCAATGCAGTGGTAATGAAAGACTGGCACGACATCCTGAAGACGTGTGACCTTCAGAACTGGAAGGAGGCTCTGGCAGCCGTCATGACCTACGCTCAGCCTGAGGAGTTCTCTTCCCTCTGCGGTTAGTTCACATGTATTTTGTTGTTGGATATCAGGGGGTCGATCACCTTTTTTAAGGTGAAGACTTACTGTTTGAATTTAGTGTTTAGATTTTCTTCTCTATCCAGGCATTTTGTAAATTCTATATAAATAAATCTATTTTCTTTACTTACATTCAGTCCATCCTGATTTTCAATTTTTTAAGACCTTCTCGGGGACAGACTGGAGGCATCAGAAGATGCTAACCTACAATCCCAAGCCTGTTTGTGCTACATCTGTGCTGGCAATGTGGAGAAACTTGTTTCTTGCTGGACCAGAGTGCAGAACGGACACTTTCCTCTCTCACTGCAGGTATAGAAGCTCTGCTGCTCATGTTTTGTTTTTTAAATGTGTAGTGGCACATGTTTAGCTGCTTTGTAGGTGGCAGAAACAAGCTTATTAATGCTTTTCCTTTGATTGAACAAATTTGTCTTTTATCTTTCAGTTTTGTTTCTTCCAGGAATATGTCTGGCTTTTTAGCTGCTAAACACTCCTCTATGTTCACTAGCTCTCTCCAGCTGTGTCTTTCTGCTCTTTGTTGATTAGCAGGAATTAAACAGTGGCTTATTAGAGCTTTTACAGTGGGAATGAACCAAAACAATCCTATTTTGAGCTTAGGACAGTCACTACCTTTCATTTCGTCATTTTGCGTTATATTATGAACAAAAATATTCATTTTACTTTAAATCTGTGCTAACCAATATTTTTTGTATTAGTAATGGCTCAAGTGATAAGTCATTGCAAAGAAATTCTGAGGAAAATCTTCACCTAACCCTGCAGTGTCCCTGCATTTCCAGTCCAGGACAAAACTATATGCTACCACTCCAGCACCAAAGAGCACACAGACACAAGTAGCAACTGGCTGGTGAAGACTGTGAAGTGTTTAGCAGCTAAAGAGACAGTTTTCTGGAGACAAAAATAGAAAGCACGTCCTAAACATGAAGCCAAATTAAAGTAGATAAAGTTGCTGGTTAAGTAAACAGGGAGCTTGTGGATTATGAACTGTTTATAGTTGGCAATAAGCCAATATTTCTCGAAGTGACCATTGACATATTTAATTAATGACGTTGTCGTGCTCATATATTGTGCCTCTGTGCCTCAGGACCTGGTGGAGAAAGTGGTGGTGTTGCGGCGTGCAGTAGAGCAGACCCAGCGCTCTGGCCCCGCTGCTATCGGCATCCTGCTAGCTGAGAAGATGAGCCAGTATGCCAACCTGCTGGCCTCCCAGGGCAGTTTGGCCACTGCCATCACCTATCTGCCTGACAACAGCAACCAGGTATGTACACAGCTGCTGTTTGTTGCACCTGCTCACTGAAAAGTGTGTGTGTGTGTTTTTTTAATATTTTAATATTTGGGAGTATTTGTCCTTAATGAGATATAAATTTCCATGAATACACTCGGCCTAATCATCCCTGCTGTTTTTCATTGTTACTGGTTATAGGTTTGTTTTCATGACCATGAACAGAGTCTATGGTATTAATTAAAAGCATCAGTTTAAACGAAGCATCACTGAACTGGACTGCTCCACCATTTTAGTGCTGTTCTTACTTAGGATTACGTGTCTGTCTGTGCAGTGCACCTGTACAGGTTGAAATGCTGCTTGCTCACCAAGCTTGTTAGTGTTGCTGTTAACAGGACTCTAACAGTTTTACATTAATAAAGTTCTTCTCCATGCAAACATCCAGACATTTAAATGACAGTAAATGACCTTTTTCAAGTTCAACAATAGAAATTTAGATTTTTATATAGTCAGTTTATATTTTTTTTTTGTCAGTTCTTATATTAAGACATCTGAGGGATTCAATGTGTTGTTAAACCTCTTTACATTGACAGGTTTGGTTCATTTAAGGTTAAAGGGGGCTCTATGAGACCCACAATGTGAAATGAGTTTGACATCACAGGTTTGGACCATCAGACCCCAGACAGACATGGTCAAATAGAGGGACTTAAGCGAAAACCCTTACTAAGCTCATTTCTTTTTTACTTAAATAACAAATGGAGTTATTTAATTTGTCTGTGTGCAAAGCAATAAAAATGTATAATGTTTTTCAGTCTGTTTAGTTTCATAATTCTTAATCTAACCGAGAGTTGGGAGTTGGGAGTTCGCCTTGTAATCGGAAGGTTGCCGGTTCGAGCCCCGGCTTGGACAGTCCTTGGATGAGACACTTCACCTGTTGCCTACTGGTGGTGGTCAGAGGGCCCGGTGGCGCCAGTGTCCGGCAGCCTCGCCTCTGTCAGTGCGCCCCAGGGTGGCTGTGGCTACAACGTAGCTTGCCATCACCAGTGTGTGAATGGGTGAATGACTGGATATGTAAAGCGCTTTGGGGTCCTTAGGGACTAGTAAAGCGCTATATAAATACAGGCCATCTTTTTTTTTTTTCTTAAATAATAACAGAGGTACCAAACATACAAACAGTAAAAACCATTTTATTCCAGTATTTTTTTGATGGCATGCACACTTTTTATTGTGCTCAGTTATTGGAAACTACAGAAGGAAAAAAAATGAAGTGATCAGTTGAGAAGTATTGCTGTTACTGGTGTTTTTTGAAATCATTTATTATCATTTAATATGCAATGTAGCTTTCCTGATCAAGAATGTCGGGATCTAACCCAGGTCTTTTGCTCCATTCAGGTTGCCATTCAGCAGCTTCGTGACCGTCTCACTCGGGCTCTTGGGCAGCAGGGGTTGGCTCCTGGAGCTTCAGTGCAAACCCAGAGAGCTCCATCTCAGCTGCCTGCCCCTCGGGCTCAGCTTCGGCATCCTTACACCCAGGTCCATCCCACCATGGTGCCTCAGCCCACCCCAGCAGCACCAGTGCCCATGCCTACATCCGCCTCCGCCCCAGCACAGCCACAGTATTACCAGCCAGTATGTTCCGCAGAGCTGCCACTACATCTCATAACAGTGTTTACACACAGATCTGATTTTCTTGGTTCTTATCTCTCTATCATTTACTCCGATTTGCATTTGTTATGATTTTATTGACAATTTTTTTATACAAATGTATAAACTACCCAAGAATAAGATTCTGAAATCCAGCATAAACATACACAGATGCATCGTCTTAACTACACTGTAATAAAAAATTGGATTTAAAAAATATATACTGCAAGTAAGTGATCGCCACATTTTCCCACATTAATGAAAACAGATGTATAACAATTTTCATACAATATAATACAATTTCATAGAATATAGTTAACATAGTTTCTTTTCTTGGGAGTTTTGTTTATTCAACAATATCTGTCTTTAAATCTAGGAAATGAGAAGCTCTCTCTCTCTTAGCCTTAATTTACAATTCCAGTTCATGTGTGTGGATTAATCTGTTCTTTGATGTGTTCATGTTGAATCTTGCTTTAAGTTTATATCAGACCTGAGGGCAGACTGGTCTATTTCCTGTTCTTCCTCTAAATTTGACATCTCCACACTTACTAACTACCTGACAAAGTGCTCATTTTAATTTCCTGATGTGTTGTAGTCATTTCATCATTTGCCAGTCCATTCTTGCCAGGGTTTAAATGACAAGCTGTGGGTACTTTTATCAGCATCTGGGCAATTTTGTTACTGTGTCTAAGCTTTCTTTCAGGATGTTGTGTTCTTGTAATTTGAACCTTGGCTCGTATAAAGTCCTCTCTTATGTCCACCCGTCCAATGTTTGTGCATTGTGGCGTTGTTTGGTGTGTGCTCCCCTCCCATGCTGCGGCCATCATTGGTATGTGCCGTGTGTTTCTGTGTGCTTCAGATGAGGGCAGCCTCCACTGTCACCTCCTGGAGTAACCAAACTCCCACAGCCCTCCCCAATGTCCCTCCTCCTCTTCAAGTAGGCAGCGCCTCTGACCAGAAGGTATACTGAGCATTACCGCCCATTCAGCCTTGACACACACTTCTTTTTGCAATTTAAAAAGCTTCACTGAGCAGGCCAAAGGTCCACATCCCAAACCTTCCCATGGCTTCCAACCCTCATTGCTAGCTACCATCACTGAACTTCCTGTTAGTACTTCCGTGGCTACAGTGCATTCAAAAGCTTCATTCAATCTGTTTCTGCTGCCGCCTCATAATTAATGTGAATCACTGCATGATTTATAGCTTACTCTTCATGGTTTAAAACAAAATGCATGCCCTTCTGCACAAATTAAGCTTCACTGAAGTGCGGTTATTGCATCACTTTTATCTGTGAAAGTTCTTTTAACATAAGACTATTCTGCCCTCTAGCAAAACTAAGCTTTATTATAATCACTACATAACTTGCTTTTGTAGAGCACAGTGTTGATTCTCAGTGGACAGAGGAGGAAGAGTTCAGATTTGTTGTCCCTGCTTTTTCAGGTGGAGCCTTCAAACCCGATGTACGGGATTCCAGCCTCAGGCACGGCTGCAGCTCCTCCAGTCTCCTCCCCTCCTGCCTACATGTATTCTCATCAGTACCAGCGTAAGTGTTTTCACTTCCAGAACTTAGCTGTCTATCATGAGGGGCATTGGCTTACGAAAAAAATAGATTTCATTTTAGTAGAACAACCTTGTCTTGCACATTAGGCCCAAATTTATCAATATGTATATTTTTTTCTGTATTACTACATTAATACACACACATACCCTTGACAATACAATGCACAGTTTGTGCTTCATTTGGTGGTTTCAGTAAGAAACAGTTTACCAGCTTGCACATTTCAAACACATTTGATACAGTTTTATTCAAGTTTTTTTTTTTGACCTAACAAACAGGAATATTCCTACAATATGATCCAGTTAGATGATCATGGGCTACGAAATTATATTTGTTGATAAAAGTTCATCAAATGGGCTCAATGTAATACCCGTTTTCAACTCCAGATACTAGAAATCTAATTACTACTTATCTTTAAAAGCCCCGAGTCATCTATCTGCAGTTCCGGCCTGCAGTGTAATCATCAGTGTACAGACAGTTATCTCTGGGTTACTGAAACCATGAGGAAAACTTCAAAACGTGATGATTATATAAAAGTTGCTTTTATTGTCTCCTTTCTGTGATTTCTGGCTACAGAAGCTATTATTCATTGATGATGCACACTGAGCTAATTTCATTGAACCAAATCAGACCAACATAATGAACACACAAGTTTGAGCTGTGCAGGTTTGATCATTTTTGGCATATTTTAAAGCTGCACTTACAAGAAAAAAAAACTGGTGTTGAAGCGCTGTACTTGTGAACGAGGTTAGGTGGAGCATGCGCTCCTCCTTCAGGCTGCAGTGATGTATGGGGAAATGAATCAACAGTATCTAAATGTTGTATAAAGGAGATAGGATTCCACCAGTTAATCTATTTGTGTATTCTTTGAAACACTAACAAGTATTTTGCTGTTTAACGCTAATGTCGGATCTCTTCTGTGCTGTCATACTTAATCTTAGTTACTAACAGGAAGTGAGAATGTTCAGTTTGTATATCTCTTTGTGAAAACATTAAGTACTTCAGCATGCTCTGCACTGTAACCATCCTGTTGCATGGTGCACTTGGTTTAACATGCAACAGTTTTTTCACTAACAGAACATCCTCTGTGTGACTCCCAGCTTACCCCCAGGTCAACCAGTACCAGCATGGAGCTGGTGGCATGCCTCTCTTTCAGCCTCTTCAGTACTCCTCTGTTCCTCCTCATCCACCTCCTTCAGTAGAGCCATCCTCCCCTCCTCAGCCCCCCGGCTTTCTCTCTGAGTACACACAGCCCGTCCAGTCTCAGCCAATATCTTCAGTCTATCCTGGACAGCCTCCCATCAACCAGTGCCTGTCCTCCTCTCCTCCTTCCCAGCCTCTTTTCTTTCCTAGCTCTTCTTCCTACTCCACTCCTCCGTCCTCTGGAGTTTCTTTCCAGCATGGCGGGCCAGGATCTCCTGTGTCGTACATGCCTCCTCCACCGAGTGGAGTCTCAGGTACAAAGATAGACAACAAGCTGATCCCCGCCTCTCAGAGAACAGGTCTGCATGCCTCTAATCACCCTCACTGTCACTGTGCTCCTTACAAATTCTCTCAGCCTTTAAAACTAGCAGGATTCCAGTTTCCTTTGTTTACCTACACTAACAGTTAATATCATATCTAGTTACTAAATGAATTCATTTCATTAGTGTTATCCTGCAGTGCAGGTTATTACATCTTACCTGCTATAATGTGAATAATAACAGACTTTTTCTGGTCACTATTAAATTAAATCGTAATTATCAAAGCAATTTGCATTTAAATGGTGCGCTGGTTATACAATAGTAAATATGTTTTCTGTTACTGTTTACAAAAAGGGAACATATTGGGTGTCTGAAGGTCATTTCTCACAATAAAAGCACTCAGAATGTATTATCCACATAGACAGTAACTTTAAACCCTAAATGGCAGATGTTTATGTTGTAAATGTAAATCTTACAATACTTACATGTCCCATACAATTATGGGTAGGTTTCATATTTAGCAATGATTTTCAATTTGCTTCTATTTACCTGTGTCATCTTAGTATATATGGCAGGAAGGTATGCACAAAAATCAATTAAATAGTACTACAATGGAAATTGAATATGCTTTCTGCATTAAGCTAATATTACGCCTACCGGTATACTTATTCCGGTGACATAGCACAACCAGATGATATTTTATTCAGATAGCAGTTCAAGTGTGAATCAATAGTGTCCTGCTCTAAAAGACTGCAAAAAGCAACAATGTCACAGGCTTTCAGCAAGACAGTGATAATCGAGACTGTCCTTTTCTGATTTGTTGGGAGAATTCACCAACTATGAACACGTAAACAAACCAGACTACTTTTTTTCCCCATAGATAATAGTAATCATACAGTTTAAACTGTGTAAAAATCAGTGTTGTCCTATGGCTGAAAACATTTCCAACTGAAGCTGAGAGAAATGCTAAATGCTTAGATGACAGAGTTGTTAAGGACACAGCCAGGTAATCATACTTTTTACACTTTGCATGGCTCCACAGAGTATGAGAAAATCACGGGTATAATTGTGACCTGCTTACAATCACACGTGTAATAAAATCCATCTATTCTGGAAGAAATTTGCACAATGTTTTTTTTGATACGATGCAATCATCTTTAATATTCACAATAATTAATGAAAACCACAGTGAATACTCACTCTTTTAAACATAACAGAATCTAATGATTATACAAATCAAAGTTTGGTTAACAGTGTGTTTTTGCACCTGTTTAGCATTTATAAGCAGTTTAATTCATGGTATGTAACACAAAATAATGTCACTTTTAAATGATAAAAGTTAAATTTTATTGAACAATGTCATAATAGGTGGCAGCTGTTTAAACATTTAAGGAATGGTACCGTAAAGCAGTGATAAGTGATTGTTTTCATGGCTGAAAAAAAGAATTAATGATAAATGCTGCGCATTAATAAAGAACTAAAAAAATGTTTATAGCTCCTTAGAGATATATCATAGTCTGTTATCAATAACCAATTAATGTGGTTATATTTTTTAAACTTCTTATAAATGCTTATAGGGGAACTTGTAATAAAAATTCAAAACATGAGACAGATTTGTTTTCCATTATAGGGCCTCAGAACGGCTGGAATGATCCTCCAGCCCTGACCCGAGCCCCTAAAAAGAAGGTAGGTTTCATTAATCAGAGTTAGAGTGACACATTTTAGAATTAAGACACATTTATATTACTTTGTTGCTGCTGTTCGACAGGCAGTTTGAGGAGGTAAATCGATTTATTTGTAGTTATTGAAATTGTTGGATGAGAAATGCCGTTTTGTGGTCTGTTTATACCTGATTCTGCCTAAATAATGTGAACATTTTGCCTGTCGTTGTTGCTCTGGACAAAGGTACCATTATCTGAAATATAGAGTGAAAATTGAAAAAACGCAATGCAAGCTGAAAACTGAGGCAGTTTTAGTTTTTATGGTAATATGAAACATTTTGAGGTAACTCAAGTTATGTATATAT